TCAGCAAGTGGAGAGTTTTGTTTTTCTTTGTTAGGAGTTGGCAAACATGTCTTTTCTCTCCCTAGAATTAATTTCTAGGAAAGGTGTTCGGGGCTAACAAATTATCCTTTCTTCCTCCAAATGGAACCTTCCAGAGAAAATGGACAACCATGTGGGCTTGGTCTCCTTGTTTAGATCATCATAGGTTTCTGTAACTGTTCATTTCTTTGTAGCTTTTCATTAAGCAGGGAGATGGAGCGTTGTTGATTCTGAGGCAATCTGCATTGGATCCCTGGCTATTCAGTCATACTCAAATGCCCTTCTGATCATAGGTTAGAATTTAATGTCAACTAAATAAGCCATATGGGATCAGGTCTAACATATTTTTGTCCTTAGTTGCTTTCACTGTTTATAATTATTCCTCTGGACTGGGTCTAGGAAGACTGCAGTAAAGGGAGCAGTACACATTTGCTCTCATCTCAGGCCAGAAGCTGATGATTTATGGCCTGAGGGGTACAGAAGGGTAGGTCAGTGGGTGCCCACACATTCACACGTGTGGAAAGGTGACAGTAGCCTAGAGGACTGAAATTTATGATCACTTCAGAAGTATGCCAATGAATAAAAGGTTCATAATAATATTTAGAACTAGACCCATATATATGGATTTATGAAACCATTGAAGTAAAATACAAATAGTCAACAATTTATGAGGGTGTGGGGAAATATATCATTAGAGTAAGGATGTACCATATAAACTTATCAGCCATTCCAGAATTTACAGCCACATATAGGAAACTGCTATTAAAGCAAGATTGAAGGCCTATCTAATCATATGTCTGCTTTTGAGTGAAATCACTACCAGTGCAGCAGTGACTGGGGCAACCTTACAGCAGTCATGCCAGGCTGGCTACCCCTGGTGTGAGAGCTCAGACAGTGGAAAGCCAACAGCAGCACAAACTCTACCCCACATCACCATGAGGGTGGTAACCAGGGGGAATCAGGTGGGTGAAGGATTCATTGGTTCCTCCAGACTCCTCAAAGGTGCAAGTAAACTGAAACTTCAAATCAGACAGCTCTTTTATCTCATCCCCACACCACCAAAATGAGTTCTTCCTAAGAGGTCATGTTCACCTTTCTTCTCCTTAAAGACAGGGAGTGGGTTGCAAGAAAAGAAATAAATGAAGTAATGAACCAGCTCCCAAAACACAGGTACTGAAGAAGGGCTGAAGTCCAGCACAAGAACAGGAATAATATCTTTATACATGGATATTTTTCCATGTAGATTTTTGGTACACTCAATCTTTTTCCCACACTTTGGCATACATGTACAGTTCTAATTTAATGAAGCATTATGTGAGAAATTGAATTATAATAATTCACGTTGGCATTCCAGCCATTTTCACCAATGATTACCTATGGAAAACAGTCTGTTAAGGCAAAAAGGACTTTAGTCATAAGGAATGATCCCAGAAGAACTTCAAAATGACCTTCAAGAGATTGAAGTAAAATAATTCAATATGTATATATATATATATATGTATATATATATATACAAAATAATTCTATAATTACATATATTTAAGTGTGTGTATATATATATATATTATGTATAGAATTATTTTACTTCTATTCTCTCTCTCTATATATATATAATTTATCCCATGCACTGTAGGCTGTGTGTGAATAGTCTCAAATGGACTGTAGATTTAAAAAAACAAAAGATGCTGAATGCTTTGTGAGTGTTTGAGACCAAATTTCACGTGACGTGAGAAGCATTTATCTCAGGTATCCTCGACTCATTATCAATTAGAAGGATTAAGCAGTCTCTATGTGCTTCACTAATCATCTTTTTAATGATTCAAAAGAAGAAAACCAGGAACAAAAAAGAGATGTAAAACGAAATTTCAGGGAGTAAAGGAAATAGAATAGCTCTACATACACAAAAGATCTGGACATTACCATTGTAGCAGGATGGTAATAGAGCACAATTAATCTTCAATGGATAAAAATTCTGTGTTGGATTAACATCAATGCTGGGAAATTTCCAGTGCTGGGGACTAATCTTTTCTAAACAGCTTTGTGTAAACAGCCCTCACTGCAGGCACAGCCCTGCAAAGAGAGAATTCGAGTTTTCTCAGCCAAATTATCTGGGACACAATCTAGCTGTCCCTCCCAAAACTTTCTTTATACTTTATGGCAACTTGAAACACTCTGAAGAGCCCATGTCTCATGGACAGCCTAGTTTGCATTGCTCAGGGTAATCTTCCTAACTCTGGAAACAGCCAAAACTTGCTCCAAGGTCAAGGCTCTGAGCAGCATGATCAGGCTAGACCTACTTGCAGCAAGGGTTTGGACATGGGGCCTCCAGAGGTCCCTCCAACCCAGGTATTCTATGGTTCTGCTGCACTGTTTGAAATCCACTGCTTGGGCAAGGAAGGAGCTCCTTGGAAAGGTCATTTTGCAGCAGTCTGCCAATATTTCATCATATCCCTCACTTCAGACTCTCCTACTCAGTACTTTCCCAGCAGGCATCAATGCGATTTCTGTTCAGAAAGATTCTCTGAGATCAGGTTGTGTTTGCTGTATGGTTGATGCCTGAGCCATGCCTTAGGTGTAGCTCCTTCTTGACAGTACTGAAGGGTGAGATTCAACTCTCCTGTCTTCAGTCATCTTAAGGTCAAAGCTTAGACTATGGAGTGGAGTCAACAGAGGAAGACAAAAAAAATCTAGCAGAGAATTTGTCCCATTTTAAGACAGCAGGGCTAAACTGCCACCTGGAGGTGCCTGCTTCCTTCCTCTGCTGGAGAGGCAGTGTTTCTGGACTGGGTTTCCAGGCACCTTGCATAACAGGAGATGATGTCCACTCCTCAGGCAGACAAACATAAAAAAAGTACTGGATGTAAACGTGCCAAATCTCTCTGTGACAAACGTCTGCAAGCTCAGCACTGAAACCTTTGGCATTTGATACCCATTGCTAAATAAGAGAATTCTCCTCTCCTTCAGGGCACCAAATATTGGACTTGCCACTACAATGAGAATAGCAAGAGTCAAGCAGACCGTCTCTGCGTGATGTGATTGCAGCTCCCTTTATTACCTCGTCCATTGTGGACTGTTTTTGTTTTGCTTTGTTACTAGCCTCTGAGAATACATGCGCTTTCTTTTCACCAAATGTGCATAACAAGAAACTGGACATGGAGCATCCAGTATTAACTGATCCCTAGAAGAGGAGCCTGAACTTTTTGGTTCCCAGCTGGACTTCTGTGAGCTACATTCCTTCTAGCAAGAAGGTAATGGTGCTCGCAGAAGCCGACATTTGAAAGCAAGAGAGCACAATAGTGCTGTATACTATTCTGTATATACAACTCTTTTCCTTCAGCTGTTTTCCAGCCACTACACATGAGACTTCAGCATTACTATTCCCATTTCACAGAAAGGACAGTAGTGGCGAAGAATGCGAACAGAAAGACAAGACAACCACACACCCAAGTCTAACTCCAAAATCATCACTCAAAACTGAGTTTGCTGCAAAATCTCCCCTGGCTCAGGCTGTGTTTAACTCTACTCCCTCCATGGCTGAGAATGAAAGGGTTTTTAGCTTAGAGATTCAAAGTGAAAACCATGGACAAATGTGTGTTAGGAAAGAGCAACAGGTAAAATAAACAAGTAGCTTGTCTCAAGTGGTCTGTGTATCATCTAAAGAAGTGTTAGATTTCTTCTTCCAACATAGAATAACGGATTAAAACAAATGCAAACAGCGCACAATGCAATAAAAAACAAATGCTCCATTTTCCACTTCTTTTCTGCTACAGCTGTTTGTTTTAAACATATAAAGATTAAGGGAACAGTCTTGAATTTAATTAAATCCCAAAAGAATTAATGATATTTATGCATATTAAATTTTTAAAGGCACTTGTGGCTGTTCAGCCAATCACTCACTGGACTGTCATAACATGCCTTCCAACCTTAATTTAAATTAGAAAGAAGAGACTCATGGAAAAAAATGTGCAGACAGTAACCTTTTCTTTGCATATATGTTTAAGAGATAAATGCCCATCTAGCTTTAAAAGGCAACAGATCTAATAAATGTCCACGTCATTATAATTCAACAGTGGGAAAAAAAAGCCACAAACTGATGTTACAAATTTTGGAGCCTCTTCTCTAAGGAAAATAAATGCAAACATCAATTCAAATCTATTTTAGAGAGTTTATAGACAGAACATCATGTCTTAACACAGAAACTCCCAGATTATTCCAGATGAAAGGGCTTTCCCAGAACTGTGATGAATAGAGGGCCATCTCTGGAGCACAGCGGGAAGACAAAGCCTTTCCCCTTTCTCTATCCAGGTCAAGTCTTCCTTTAGTCCTGTACTGTCAGTAAGACAACAGGTAGATTTGGATCTGGGTCTCTGGCAAAGATCTCTCAGTAAGAAGAAAAAATGCTTTCTCTGCTCTTTTTGTAGTAAATCCATTGTGAATCTGAGTAAGCTTCTGGTCCAAAGCTAAAATCTCTGATTTTTTTTCCCTTGCTACCAGGTTGGCTCTAAATGCAGGCTGCAAAGTGATAAGGCCTTCTTTTCTTCCGCTCTGCTTATTTTTTTTTCCCCTTGTGTATCCAACATTTTGTTATCTCAGCTCATAGCCATCTTTCCCACCGCAAACAATGGACTCCTCCTCCCTTCATCTCCTGAACACTAATGACAGGTGTTTCCCATTCCATCTACCTCTCAGCATTGCCATATGCTATGAAACAAATAACCTTGAAAGCTCAATAAAATATAGCTTCTTGCTAAATAAAAATCTCCAAGTATTGCTCCTTCTCTCACAAGTAATTTTGTTGACTTCTCAAGGATTCAGACCCTGTTTAGAAAACCATTTATTTGGCTTTGTTTAAGCGTGTGTTTATGGTTTATGGTTTACCAATGAGAATAGGAAAAGACCCAGCCGTTAAGTACTGACGTGCTCCTGTTTGTCAGACTTTTCTACCTTACTTGCTAAGAAAACAGTCTTTGCCTGGTGCTTACCTATCAAATACTCCAGCCAGATCTGGTCTTTCTCTGGCTCATAGGGTCGGCTGAAGTCAATCTGGATTTGGAAAGGCTGTCCTCGACGCACTATCAGCTTGGGATTGTAGTACTTGTCGGTGTGGTGCTGCTGCTTGTTGATCTCATTGGGTTCTTTGAACATATGAATATCCACAACACGCAGGTAATCTGCAGAGGCACATCAATGAACAGAAAGCAGTCACATTATGGACATCATCAGCATTAGAAGCCCTGTCCCTCCCTTCTCCAGCTTTGCTCCATCAAGAAATGCAAGAGTGTGCTGGACCTGTTTGAGGCTAGCACCTTTCTGCCTGAGCAGGGTTTTATGGGCTGAAACTTCTTCACCTACTTGCTGCTTTTGCAAAGGACATAAGGTTCTCACAAATGGTGAAAGCAATGACACAAAGGGCAGGTTCTAACGGGTGAAAAGCTGAATGATGCCAGGAAGAGCTGTGCTCTGTCCTTCCTTTTGCATCAGCTTTCTGCAGGTCTGGGCACAATCAGGGTCTTTGACAGCTGTGGCTCCATGTAAAATGCATATTCAGAGGGATTTTTTGATGCTTAAGTACATACGTTAATGTTTGTAAAGCACGACTGCTACCAAGTGCTGCAGAGCCTGAGAGGCTTTAATGATCTTGCTTTCAGCTGTGAGCTTGGATGCCTGTATTAAATAAGGCTTTGGTGTATTATACATGTCTAGACTCAGCTTCTCAGAACACCTCCACTGCTATTAGCATCTTTTATGAAAACTCAATATGACATGATAGTATGCAATTACAGTATAAAGTCATAGTCAAATAGCAGAGGGTATCTATAACATGCACAAGCAAAGTAAATGCCTCACTCCCTTCAAATCAGGGCTATCTAAAGGGTTATAGCTGTCAGCATTTGGCTTGCTCAGCTCATGACCAGCGTGTGGTGGCACTTGGATAGCCAAAGGCACTTGCAGTCACTACCAGCTATGTGACTACCATGCTGAGAAACTGCACAGTGGAAGCCTTCACACACAACAGCTCCGTCCCCATACACACTGAAGCTGTACCCAGTAGCTTCACAGCCAGTTCCTTGTAACAGTGAGCAATCATACAGAACTGAACCAAACATCATTCTTCCTCCTTCATGCTTGGACAGATAATCATGAAAATTCTGCCAGGAGGCCCATTATTGCCATGAGGAGAGAGACAGAGAAGTAAAGCTTGATTTGCAGCTCTCAGCTTGCAGTTCCAGGTGCTGACAGAAACCAGCCAATTTCTGCATTTTATAGTGACAAATACAGAGCCAAACTCATGGCTGGCAGGAAGAGGAGCACACTTCCAGCAGCTGGCAGAGCTGTGTGTCCTCACATGGTGGCTCATTTGGCCTGCTGCTGAGTACACTGCGAGCACGAGTGATATACTCAGCAAATGAGTCGGACAGTCAAGTCACTGGCAGCTAAACACAGCCCACTGCACAGAACCTCAGAACACAGCTCTGCAGGCAGCTTTCTCCTGCAGGCAGGAAGCCACAGCAGGCAAGAAGGCTCTGGGCAAGGTAAAACTCCATGGCAGTGTTGTTGTAACTCTGTGCTCAATTCTCCAGGCTTCTGGAATAACTTCTGTAGATCCCCACAGGCCTTAGTGTTGGCTGGAGCTACAGAGATGGATCTTGCGTGAAATTTCAAATGCTTTTTGCTCAGAAATAATTTCTCAATGTGCCTCTATGAAATAGGGAGCATTTTCACCTCCCTCCTTGCAAAACTTACCCACACACACTCACAAGAATGCTGACAAAGGTCATAATTAAATTATGCAAGGCAGAAATTTCCTGGAGGGCTGTAAAAAGAGAGCACAGGAGAGCCTCTGCTGTTTTCTCTCCCAATCTCTCTTAGGCTAGAAACATCCCGTGTAAAAGCTGCACATCACAGCTCTGTGAGAGATCTAACCATCAGTAAGTTTGGCTCAGCTTCTCCCTGCTTCCAGGGAGGCATAAAAATTCTTTTGAACATTTGTTGTGTTTTCATCTCATGCTCTGAAACAAAAGGCAAGAGACCCTGCCCTTCCTTTGCAAGTTAACCCGTTCAAGGAACTACAAAGCTCAGCCACTCTGGGGTGTCAGTTCAGCTTTTGCTTCATTTTTTTCCCAGGACTTTACAAGGCTCCTGTCAAAACACAATCATACACATCTGCACACAACACACTTCTCTCTCAGTGTTAAAATGAACTTCTTTGAGCTCGTCAGATGAAGATGACCTGTGACTGAGCCTGTGCTAATTACAGTAATGGTAATTAGAGAGGACAAAAGTGAGCAGGGTAACAGGATACACAAACATCTTCACCAGGGTAGGGTGAAGTAATCAAAAGGAAAGGTCCAAGTGCTGCACACATTGCTGCCTGTCTGTGAGGGATGGGTGGACATCAGGGGTCTCCTTTGAAGTCAGATCTATGTGATGGTTTGTCACAGCCTCATCCACTATTTAGTGCAAGTAGGTTTCCTGTGCAAGAGGTAGCAGACTCATGTTTTCTTAAAGCTTTTGTAATGCGGAAATTGAGGTGAGATGATAGGAAGAAGTTCTTTTCTCAGAGGGCAGTGAGGCAGTGGCATCAGCTGCCCAGAGAAGTTGTGGTGCACCATCCCTGGATGCTCAAGGCCAGGCTGGATGGGGCCCTGGGCAGCCTCCACTGGTGGTGGCAGCCCTGCCCACAGCAAGAGGTTGGAACTGTGTGGCTTTTAAGGTCCCTTCTAACCCAAGCCATGCTACAAGCCTATGATTCTATGTTAACCTTGGTTGGAAATGAATAAATGAGCACAATCTTGTGCTGCTTTTCAATTCCAAAAATAACCAGCAATCATCAGGTTTTCTTGGAGGACAAAAGAGAAAGGATTCCGGGTTACATACCAAGGAGTTTTTAAAGGAGGTGATGGTCTCTGCCAATGGGGGATGTACGATTCCCTGGCAGTCCCCACACTTAGTAAAGGAGGCCATGTGGGCAGCCTGTAGGCTGCAGAGCCCCAAGGCTGTGTCCTCCCACCGAGCCGTCTGCATGCGTCAGGCCCACTTATAACTCAGTGTGGGGAGATGAGGTGGCTAGGAAGAGCCACGGGGAGGACACAGCACAGGTGTACAAAGAAACACAGGCTTCTTGCCAAGGAAGCCTGCAGCAAGCAGCCTGCAGCAGGCAGCCAGCTGACCAGGCTGGGGAGGCAGCAGTCCCTGCGGTCTCCACCAATTTTAACGTGGCTGTGATTCAGTGCAATTGAAGTGGGTGTCAGCAGAGAGCTCGTTCAGCACAGAGTTTACCTCATCCTAGAGTAGTAGCTAAAATAGGTCAAATGAATCACAGCCTAAAAATGCCTATTTCTCTCTATTGGCTGTCAAGGGAAACGAGGGTGAGTAGCTCAGCTGTAGACACCTACACTGCACAGAACAAGGGCAGGATTCAGCTCAAGACAAAGTCCTTTAAATGTAGGCATCTAAATGTTGTGAGCCAGACATGTAATGTCTTATGGCCGGTGAGATCTGCTTGCTGCAGCCATTGGAGCTGAGAAAGACACCCTGGAAGAGACACTCACTGCCTGTTGGGAAGAACTGTATTCTCACCTCCGGCTGGGCTAGCTCTGTGTTGGTTAACATCTGACACGGATGAAGACACCAACATTTAGATGTTTACAGCAAATGTCCCATCCTACCACAGAGCTTAGAAAGCACCATAGTTGTACAAGCAGGGATAAAAGCATTGGCCTGCTTTTTTTCAGGGTGATGTGGAAGTGAAATACACAAACCATTACAAAAGGCTTGGACAACCCACAAGTATGGAAGTGCGAAGGAGAAGAGGATGAAGGTGGTGCAAGAAGTCCATGGCAAAGTCCATGTTCACCCTGCAGTACCCTGCTGCTCCTGCTCTGCCTGCAGGCTCTCACTTCAACCCCAGTGCTGCAATTGCTCTTGGTAGGCTCAGCTTCCAAACACAAGTGCCAATCTGAGTTGTGTGTGGAAAACATTTGGTAATATACATTTAACATTCTCTGACAGGTGATTTAAACATCCTACCGCAAAACAGTGTCCAGGGAACACATATACATCAGCTGGTGTTACAGGCTTAAATCACAGCTGATGTGCACTGAGGCAGGAATGCTGCTACCGTCCCTTCCCTTTCCTCCACCCAGGTCACCCTTGCATATTATTGCTACAAGCACTGCAGAGCAGAACTGTATAGCAGAGCTGACCCAGCTGTACAATAAGAGTTTTGCTGTAATAATTAAATTTATTTTTTCAGCCATACTAGTCCCATAGTCAAGTTGATCCTTTGGCCACACAAACTCCTGCTTTGGACAAGGGCTGTTTTCTCATCTGCAGCGTCACCTCATGAGGCGGCCTTCTGCCTCAACTCATTTGACCTCACATTCCCGTTCCCATTACACTTCAGAAAACAGAGATGCTCTTGTCTCTCAGCACCACACTCATTCAGAGCCTGATATTAAGCACTTCATAGAAGTCATAGAATGGCTTGGGTTGGAAGGGACCTCAAAGATCAACAACCTCCAACTCCCCCGCTGCATGTAGGGCCACCAACCTCCACACCTAATACTAGACCAGGCTGCCCAGGGCCCCAACCACCTCCAGGGATGGGACATCCTCAACCTCTCTGGGCAGTTTGTTCCAGCACCTCACCACTCTCTTGGTAAAGAACTTCCCCCTTATATCCAACCTAAGTCTTCCCTCTTTCAATATAAAACCATTTTCTCTTGTCCTGCCATTATCTACCCTTGTAAAGAGTTGGCTCCCCTCCTCTCTGTAGGCTCCCTTGAGGTACTGGAAGGCTGCAATGAGGTTTCCCCCCAGGCTAATAGGAACCTTCCTTCAGAACTGATGCATTTTAGCTACAGACTGCATTCCCTCCAAGGTATCCTGCACCAGGTGTACTGAATTTGAAAATATACATAGTCAGGACCTGTATTATACTACCTTTGACAATTTAAACACTCATATTTTTCCCAGAGCTACAGGGTTGTCTGAAAAAGTTAAAGCAAAGTTCCTACCATCTTAACATTCCAGTTGGTTTGCTCAGGCGTTTTTTAAAGAAATGCTTTTTAAAGCAACATGTGTGTAATAAAAGGGGAGGACATGGGCAAAGCAGATGATTAAGTTTACAGAAATAACGATTTCCAACAGGACTCTGAGCTTGTCACCGAAAATCTCATTGCTTGTTTTCTACTGTGTAAAACGAAGCAGTTAATGCTCATCCACATTTATTAAACACTCTTTCAACTCCAGATGAAAAGCTCCGTATGAGTACTAAGTATTATCACATCTCACTTTTGTGAGTTGCTACATGCAGCAGGTTCTGTTGTTAATCTTAGGCAAAAAAAAAAAAAAAAAAAAAAAATCAAACCATCATTGTGTCGGTGTCTCATTCAGGATCCAATTCCATTTTCCTCTAAATCTTGTCTGTGCTTTTCAGATTCATTCCAAATATAGTCACTCTGATTTTCCTTGCCCCAGAATTATATTTTGTCTCCCCAGCCAAACCATTAAAACACTTTCCGCAGGAGAATTTTTCAGTTTCCCAGCCATTTTTATGAGTGAGTTGACCATCTAGTAAAAGCATTCTGCAGCAGATTCACAGTCAGTTTAAGCCTGTATAAACCAGAAGGGTCAATAAAAGGGGATGCTTCTACTTCCTTCATATCACAGAATCACCCGGGTTGGAAGGGACCTCAAGGATCATGTAGTTCCAACCCCCCTGCCTAGCAGGGCCACCAAACAGGCATCCCATGCCTGAAGCCAACAGGTGAGCCAGGCTGAAGTGGAACTAAAAAATACTAAATTAAACTTTCTATTCTACTTCTTCTGTCCAAAAGCCTGCTTTTAACCCAGATCAGTGTCTTGCCCTGCTTCACCACCAGCTGCTTCAAGGAAAGGGGCTGGTCCAGAGCTCGGAAAAAGCGACCAGAGACAGGATTTTTACTGAGGGCAATGACAAGTTTTGATGACTTTGGTTAGGAAACTCTATCTATATATGCGTTCTCCCACTCCAGATGTTCAGTGACACCCCTCTGTCGCCCCTGCAAAGTGGAGCTTTCAACCAGCCCAGCCCGAGAACAGTCAGCCACAAACTTAAAGACTCGAGGAAGTCCTGCTAAAGTTACTCTGTGATTGTAATCAAACTGGAAAAAAAAAATACTCTCAACTTTAAACCACTCTCTAAGGTTAGAAGCAAAACCAGATGTATGTCTTAAACTTTACACTGTACCTTTTGGATTAAATCCTCGAGGTATCAGACCAAAAGCATCCATTTCAGGGACATCATTTTCTTCAGCATTGGAGTTGTTTGATGGGAGGCCTCTTCGCCCATTCAGGGGAGGTTGTTTCTTCTCTCTGTTGGTGCTCGTTGGTTCAGACATCCTGTATTAGAGATGTTGTAATACCACGTAAGAAAGAAAAAGTGCAAGGAAAAAGCACACACGAGCCAGCGTAGCACATATAAGATGGGAGAAACCGGAAACAGTGTGGGGTGCCAGCGAGCTACACATTTTTAGATTCACATAAATAAAAACTGAGAGGCAGAAAACATCAGTCTAATGATGGAGTACAGCTCTCTGAGGATTGTAAGCCATTTTGTGTTTGTCAAAACACATGAATAAGAGAAGAAGGGGGGTGGAAGGAGGAAAGGAAAGCTTAATACAGAAGTATTTGTCTAGGAGAAGCAGGGCATTAAAAACATTTGGGAATTTCTGGTAAAAAGGTGGAAAATTACCATCTTTCCCACCCTCTAAAACAATATTATTGCACCCTAAATAACAAATTATATTCCTAGGAAGTACACTGCATACCACCTCTCTCTAATAAAAACGACAGTCTAAGTTATATTGCAATCATCTCAAATACTACAGCCCTCAACATTCTGCAGATGACTACTGAAATACTGTATTTTTTGTCTCTATGCACACAAACACCCAATATCCAAAGGACTATTTCCTACACACAGAGAACCCACTTTTGAGGAGAGAGAAAGAGAGACGGAAAAAAAAGAAAGAAAAAAAGGCACTTATCCACTTATTTCTCTCCCACAAGCAACCTTAAGGGAAATCTCAGATGTAGGCTGATCAGAGACTTCTCTTTGAGCTAGTCAAAACTGCTTTCACATCTATTTCAGTGAAAGCACGTAGTAACGAAAGAGCCACACCATCCATCTGAGAAAATATTCATGGCTGAGAACACAGCTTCTTCCCAAAGCTCCTGAAAACATCAATTCAAAATACAGCAATTATTTAATAGTATTAAGCTCTTAAAGGAAGTTTTCTAGTTAGCAAGGGTACCTTCTTTTCAGATAGTCTTTTTTTTTTTAATTTTGTCTTCTCCCTTGCAGATTTTCTGATGTGTAATAGAAGCCTGGAAAAAGTTGAGGGCTTTTAAGTAACTTCTGTATATCCTCCTCCCTCCTGTTGCAATAGGACAGTGCTGAAAGGGTTGCCAAGCCCTCCCCACACCATCTCCAAGTATCTGCCACCACTGCTGGCACGTCTTTGCTTCCCCTCCCTCTCCCTGCCTACCTTCCCCCACCTCTCATCAGGAACCACTTATCAGGAGTATTTCAGAGTTCTTGGGCTAAGGAAACAACCCAGGCATTGAAGTTTCAGTCCTCAGTGATATAGAGTAGAGCTTCTCATGGTACAAGAGCATAGAAAGTGGAAGAGATTCTCTGAGTGACACAAAGTTGTCAGTCTTAATAGTGTCTCTAGATCAGGATGCCTACACTGCAGCTTGAGGTGCTGACTTTCAGAGTACTCCAAGGTAGAAAACAGCAACGCTTTCTCTCCATGGTGCCTCACAGCAGTCCTTCTTAAGACTATGGGGCACATGAGCATGGAAAGCTCATTGCCAGCTCAACAAACAAGATCTTTTCTATGAGAAACTGTGCAATTCAGGAGAGTTAAGGTGTTGTGCTCCAATCAGTTCTGTTTAGGGCAACTGACCTTCTGCTCTTACCCATGATAATTTGTGTATCGTTAACAACCTGTGTCAGGAGCAGTACCTGACGAAAGCATTCTACCTACAGACCAACTTTCTTCAGTTTCACTAAGCTCTAACGTAATTGGGGACTGCCAGGATTGCTTGCTGAGACTCAGACTGCAGAGGTTTTGGAGCCAGCTTCACTATCTGCACATGAGCATTGTGCTATGCTACTATGCTACCTCAGAGTCAAAGGGCCCCAAACACTCCTTTATCTCCTGCAGCAGACTGCTAGGCAAACAGCACAGAAAGCCACCTGGCCAGGGCACTGTACTTCTTCTGCTGTGCTCCCCCAAGTGTGCCGGCACCCCATCAGGAGAGATCTGGTCTTGCTGTTGTCCTGAACTGCAGTTTCTACGGACTCTCTTCTCTGCAGATGGTCCTTATGGTAACCATCTGTTGGGCAAGCAATGCCCCTGACATCCAGGAACACAATGAGCTTTCTGGGGGAGGAGGCTGGCTGCCAATTCTCCTTTTTTCCACTCTGATTTCTGCATGGTGTGCCTCTCCTTCTACTTCCAGCCAGTACTTCAGTTCCCAAAACTGCAGCTGCTGTGATGACGTTACAGAAACTGAAGTAAATATTGCCTTGGTGCCATGCCTGCTGGAGGCCTGCAACACAAATAAGAAACTCCATCTCCCGAGGCAGTTATGTGCTTCCCCAAGTGGCTGCAGTGCTGTCAGAGCCAGGAGGAAAACTTTCAGTCAGAGTGGGAACGGCAGTGAGTGGATGCAGCCAAATGATCCCAGCCCTCATGCTTCAGAAGCCAGCAGTTGTAGATGTCTCTCCTTGTGCCCCTTCAGGTCTCTTCGGAGCATTTGGCAGAAGCTGACAATCACTGAGAAAGGACAGAGAGAAAAATTTTTGGCAGCAGCTTTGCATCCAGGGAGAGTAACATTTCATAGGCTGTAATTTATTTATTTTGTGGGGAGTGATGTAAATTCATGCTTATGACAGCTCCAGATGCCAGGTATTTTCTCATTACCTTGAATTTTTAGCATTTGCCCTTCCTTGCCTATTAGACTGCACTGGCCTTAATTTAGCATCTATGGTTTGAAACTACTGACGTCAGAGCTGATTCAGGAGGGGGCACAGAGAACACGAAGGCCTGTTTTTCCTGTAGGGCCTTATATTTAATGAATGGTGTTCTGGAATGACCGGTGAAAGAGCAGTCTTTCTTCATGAAGAAACTCCTGCATTGCTAAAGGGCTGAGACCATGCTTGTTACTCAGCCATCAAATGCTTGTGGCTTTTGCTAAAGACCTTTGCAGTTGTAGATGCTCTTCTCATTGATCACAACGGACTTTGAATGATGGACAGCCCTTCCTCATGATCACCACAGAAAAGCTCTTAAATGTTTGGAAAGTTTGCACTGCGAAGGGTTATCCCAAATTCAGTTTTCTGTTATCATGAGGGTCAGCATTACTCCATGCCAGATACAAGTTTAAGGGGAAAACCCCACAAAACATGAGTCAGTAAAGCTTTACAGACAGAAAGGAGAGTGTGTGAAGATCTGTCATAAGCAAACTCCTCAGCCAGGTGCTCATGTAAATGGTTTGCTGTGCTGCGTGCCAGTGGCTGGATGGCAGGGGTATTTTGCCTACCACTGTTTTACCACTGAGAACTCCTTGGCAGCAGCTGAGCATTGTAATGCTTTGCAAAACAGTGAATTCCTTTCTTACTTTTCTTCTTCTTCTTTTAATTTTTTTCTTTTTTTTACTCCCTCAAATATTACCTTTGGGCCCATTTGCAGGCTAGTTGTGAATTCAGATGCACTGGGACATGGTACTACATGTACATGCATAACCATCCCTGGAAGGAAATAATTCTTATTCCCATAAACCAGTAATCTACATATAATACACCTTTACCTCTTTCTTCTCGGAGTTTCACTTGGAAATTTGCACTCTTTCTTAGATGACCAAGTCTGTCTTCCTCTTCCTTCCACATCGTTACTTGTCTTCCAGAAACCAATATCTCTCTCCCTATAATGCCTTGCCTTACCAAGGAGGCAGAGTAGAGCAGACTCTAGCAGAAAATATGAACAAAAATGTTATTTTTAAACAGAAGCAAATATCAGAACTGTTCATTTGGTGGTTTTGTTCGCATATTTTGCTTTCGAATTTTTAAAAACCAAAACCAGCTCATTTATCTCTATGTGTTTAGCAGCTCTGGCTACCACTCACAGAGGAGTATATTTTGAACTAATGCTGAACGTTCAGAAGGCCCAGCTCTGAAATACAGCATGTGTACAAGACAGTATGTGTGAAAGAGGGGTAGAGGCAGAGAGAGACAAAATGGCAGATCTTCAGATGGTGGAACATTTGGAGCAGGGGATATAAGGCCAGTTTTCAAAAGATATTGTTGCAAATGTTTCTGTTGCAGGGAAAAAAAACAACAAAAAAAACCATATATATGTGGTTATATATATACATATATATGGTTGTTTTATATATATACATATATTCATACACACATTCTGCTAAGAAAATGTGGCTTAAGAAATTTAACTCTTCTCTGAAAAATACCGTTCCAAACCACAAGTTTAAATTCAATCTGTAGATCCATATAAGCATCTACGTCTGAGCTGGCCATCTTAGGTTTTCTTTATCCTCCACAGAGATGCAGTCTAGGCAGTGATTCATCTCCTCCTACAGCACACATGTAAATAGGTCAGATGAATCATGGCCTAAAAGTGCCTGTTTCTTGTACTGACTGCAAAGGGAGCCTGAGGTGATGGATCCCACCGTATGCATCTATACAGCCAACGTCTACAATGAGGTGAGAAGAAATGCAGCTTAGAAATGAAAAAATAAAAGAATTTTATCTAGGTTTTGAAGCATAACTTTCAAGTGCTATATTATCCTTTATAGATGCCACTCAAAATCATTAACAGTGATACATAGTATACAGTTCAATACACTTTTTTTTCCCTCTCAGATTATGCGGCTGCCACTGCCAATTATGTAAAATACATTTCCAACAATAAGTATCAGATTACACTGAAGCACATGCCAGCTCATGAGTTAAAGGTTGGAAAAGACATCTATCTTTTTGTACTCATGTGAAGGCATCTTTCTTCCTGAGACATAAACATAACTGTACATGTAGTAACTGCAACAAAAAAAGAATCACGTTGGCTGTTATGAGCATACAATCCAGGTTCCCACTCCTACTCCTACTGACATCTGAATTCAAAGCATTTCACTGTTTTTGTACCAGAGTTGCCTTAATTATCTCACAGAAAGATAGCCAAACTAGGCCAAAGAGGTATTTCATAAGAGATGATCTTCAGGGGCTCCAGCTTTGTTTACTGGTTTGTGTTCTGCTAGAGCTGAGGCCCTAAATAATGAAGAAACATCTCTTAAAAATGGAGGTGGACTACTTCCTTGCTTTGGCCAGCTGACCCTGAAGATGATAGAGGCACAAAGGTTGCAGACCTTAGATCAATATTTCAGCCCCAAATGAAAGGACAGGTTATCAAAGCAAAGCCATGAACTTTTGGAGGGAAAGCTTCTTCATGGAAAGTGTTTCTCTGAAAAAAATTCACCATACATATCATATGTATACGGCAAAGAGAAAGACTCTTCTAAAGCAAATCCCTCTGTATCGTCTAATCAATGCCATTTACCTAAAGTGAAGCTCTTGACCTAAGGGCCAACTCTACTTGATCTGTCAGGCAACAAGACTGAGAAAAGAGATAGGAATTTGAGGAGTTGGACCAAAATTTCTCCCTTCTTTTTCTCTCAAACGTCTGAAGATCAAGGCAGGGACTGGGACAGTAAGTTCCTCCCACTATACTTTAAGACTGGATTTGAGATCACCTGATGAACCTAACCATATGTGTATCTCTGCGGCCTGATCAGATGCATCAGAGGAAACTGGATGATGTAGTAATCAAAAGCCATTCTCCATCATATTTGACATCATGGCAACTAGGTGAAGTCCCCAGTGACAGGAGAATAGGAAATATCACTTCAGTTTTTAAAAAAGGAACAGTCAGCCTCACCTCTGTGCTCAGGAAAATCGTGAAGCAGTTCTTCGTGGAAGCTATGTTGAGGCATACGGAAGACAGGGAGATTATTCAAGACTATCAACATAGCTTTACCAAGGCAAATTGTGCCTGGCAATTTGGTGGCCTCCTACCATGGTTACGTAAGTAGACAAGGGAAGAGCAACCAATGCCATTTAAATGGACTTCTATAAGGCCTTTTACATAATCCCACACAAGATTCTTTTCTCTATATTGGAAAGAAAATAATTTGATGGATTGACTATTTAGTGGGTAAGAAACTTGCTGGATGGCCACATCCAGAGAATTGTAGTCGATGACTCAGTGTCCAGGTGGAGATCAGAGATGAATACTATCCCTCAGGGATCTGTATGGGGACTGGTACTGTTCAGTATATTTATTAACACCTTGGGATTGGGTGCGTTATCAGCAAGTTTGCAGAGGACACCAAGCTGAGTGGTGCAACTGATACAGAAGGAAGAGATGCCACCCAGAAGCATCTAGAGAGGCTTGAAAGGTGGGCCTATATCAATCTCATAAAGTTCATCATGTCCAAGCGCAAAGTGCTGCAGTTGGGTTAGGGCAGTTTCCAGTAAAAGTACCACCTGAAAGCATGAATGGATAGAGATCAGACCTATGGAGAAGGACTAGGGTGTTTTGATAGATGAAATACTGGACATGAGCCAGCAGTGTGCACTTGCAGTCCAAAAGGCCAACTGTATCCTGGGCTGCATCAAAAGAGGGGTGGCCAGCAGGGAGAAGGAGGTGATTGTCTCCCTCTACTCTGCCTTTGAGAAATCCCAGCTGCAGTACTGCATCCAGCTCTGGGGCAGGAATCTGTTGGAGTAGGTTCAGACACGGGACACACAAAATGATCAGAAGGCTGGAACATTTTTCCCGAGAAGACAGGCTGAGAAAGCTGGGCTTGTCCAGCCTGGAGAAGAGAAGGCTCCAGAGAGAGATCATTGCAGTCTATTTCAATACTTAAAGAGGGCTGAAGAGAAAAATGGAGAGAGACTTTTTACAAGGGTCTGTTGTGGTAGGACAAGAGGTAATGATTTTAAACTGGAAGAGAATAGATTTAGAATAGAGATAAGAAAGACAATTTTTTACTATGAGGCTGGTGCAACACTGGAACATGTAGCCCAAAGAAGCTGTGGGTGTCCCACCCATTCAAGTGTTTGAGGTCAGGGTAGCTACAGGGCTTTGGGCAACCTGATCCAGGGAAAGGTGCCCCTGCCCATGGCAGGGCAGGGATGGTGCACTAAATGATCTTTAAAATTAAACCATTCTGTGATTCTATGATCCTTTCTACAGACTTCCAGACCTGTTTGAATTTTTTCCAGCATGTCAGTCTCCCTCCACCAAATGCTGATTTCACAACATTGAAACTTTTTGCAAGAAAATCATCAATTGAAAAAATAGTTTGTGAGAAATTACCATAACATAATTAGATTTGATTCAGTTATTTCAACTTGTATGTTTACAGCCAGGGTGAAGTCCCCCAGATATGAGATGTTAGGATGTCCACAGCAGGACAGGGGGAGCAGAGGGAAGAGAACTTCAAAGTCCCTGCTAAAACAAGGTTGAGCTCAATAACTGCAATTCAGTCTGTCCCTTACACTCATCTCCAAAGGGGCTGACTTGTCACATACAGTCCCAGATGTAAATGGAGGTCATCTGTTTGTGCTGTGCCCATACTATCATTCTTGTGGACAGTGTGAAGTCACCTTGGATCAGGCCAGAACAGAAAAACCAAGAGTAGACCAAAACAAGCTACAATACAAACACATAAAATCTGTGCTCTGTGCCCCTGGGGCACTTGTACCCGATACCTGGTGCAAAACACCGTAGATGTCCCTACATAGAGCTGGTGAGTGTGAACAGGTCTTACATGGCTATCCTTGGGTTAGTGCTAGACTGTGTTAAAAGAGAACTGCACCTCAGTTGAGAAGCTAGTTCAGATCAGAGCTCTTCCTGCAACCAGGAGATGGGTTACTTACAACCCAGGCAGCCCCAGCATGCTTAGTTGACAGTTGGTTCTCATTAATTTTGTACCATATGTGAACATGCAATATTTCAATGTTAATCTCACAGAGCATTTCAGTGTTACTGAAACACAATGTTTCAAGTATGCTCAATTACAAGATGTTTAGAATTAAAGATTTCTTCAATCTCATTTCAGGGTAAAACTTCCTGTTCCAGTTCAGAACAAAAACACATTTTAAGATGCCCAAAGTCTTGTAGAACAGCTTCTCCTGTTAATACAAACACAGATGTAGCATGTAGATTCATAACAACAAAAACCTGAAGCATGTTCAAGCGCATAATGCCATCTTTAGACATATACCTAAATCCTGTGACGTGCTCACCTCAACAAAATCAACATTATACAATAACTGTGTGTACAGAAACTCTTAAGCTGCCTGTTGCTGTTGCATTTCCACCACTTTGGCAATTCTCTAGTGGAACAGTTTCTTGATTCGTTCCAAATATGTTTGCCAAATAGGGCTGTTGATCCATCTTTCAGTCCCAAGACTGACCATATCTTTGTGTTAATGAGCCAAATAATTGCTTAAATAAGGAAGTGTACATCATTTTGAGGAGTAAGTTCAAATGCAGATTGTAAAACATCACAATTGGTTGGTTTGTTAATGGCAGATGTTCTGGGGGGAGAAAGGAAATTGAGAGAATGAATCATTATTTCAGATGAATTTCAAAAGCAATTTAAAAGTCATTTCATAATCACAGATGTGTGCCAAATATACCCATCCAGCACAAGCTGTAGGCTTTGATTTTTGTGAAGTCTGCAGGTTTTTTCCTTTGCTATTCCCACTGTAACCTTTTGCAGTGTGGTTTGAGAAAGGAGAACGTAAAAAAAAAAATTAATGCCTTCCAAACTCTCCACATACCTGTCTCTAAAGTGTTGTGCTGCATCCAC